TTCTTCATATGAAGAAATATGCTGAATATTCCTTCTTCGGAAAATCCCTGTGCCATGAAAATTGCAATTTTAACTAGGACAAACTATAGATTATCTCCATGTGGTTCAACTGACAACACTATACTTTCTAATTTTCTTAATGTTTTTTATCCCTAAAAATTTCATTAAAATTGAAAATTTACTTATTGCACAGACAATGAAGAGAGAGAAGGTAAAATTGGTTATTTTAGAGAGAGAAAAAGAAAGAAATATAATATTTACAGGAGTATAAATGTCATTTTAACATGTTTTTTTTACTAGAAATGTTGAATTTTGACATTTGACCCTTAATTTTAAAGGAATTTTTTACGGTTGTAATTTGTTCCAAAATTAGACATATTGTTTCTAGAATTTAAAATTATAAGGGGACAATAGGTAACTCAGCCAAACTGCATAGGGGAAATATATAAAACGCCCTTAAGCACCAATGATCCATTTTATATAGGGTAGTCCCGTAAGAGTTTTCAGGCTTGTACAGAAATTCGTCTAGCATATCCTAAATGTCAAGTCCTTTGTTGTATTCTGGTAGGCCACAAATGGGATTTCTGCTTAGATCTACCTTCTTTAGCGAGGGTATGCTGCTGAAATCTTTCGGAAAATCACCATCAGATAGATTGTAGCCTTGAAGACTCGGTGTTACTAATGAATGTGGTAAAACATCCAAAACAATCTTCGAGAGTTCTAGACGAATTCTTGGTCTCAATCTCCCAAGCCTCAAGAATGGATGCCATGGCCGATTCTCTTCAGTAGTAGAAGGTAAGAGGCTGAGGTCCATTTCATTAGCTTGAATTATTATAAGCGATTTTAACTCTTTTAGCTCTGATAGCAACTCCTTAAGATTTCAGCAACTAGAAATCTTGAGTGTTTCGAGAGAGCTAAGCATGGCAATGCTTGTTGGAAACTTCTCCAGACTTCTGCAATCTTTCATACTTAGGAGAACAAGTTTCGCAATATTGCCCATAAAAAATTGGAGTTTTTTTAAGGCCATGGCAGTGTCGAAGGTCAAGAATGAAAAAAAAAATGAGGAAACTAAATGTCAGAGACATAAAATAAGATTAAAAAAAATAGGAACCGCAAAAAAAAAAAAAAAAAAAAAAGAATATTAAGGTTAGAAACAGAGGGCAATGTGGATCAATCGCATACCTTGACTCCCTTCCATAACTGTTCTAAGCTACTATTGCGCATGTCAATGGCAACCAAATTCTCCATAGGAAAATCATTTGGGAAAGATTTCAACGAAAAACCAAGCCAACACAGCCATCTTATGTTCTTTGGAAGTTCTTTATAGCCTCCAACAAGTCGTACATAGTTGATCTATAGTAGTGTCAATTCGTGCATACTTGGAAATGCATCGATTTCTAAACTCTCATCGTTCCGACTGTTGAAATTAGAGAGCTTATTTTCCTTGAGCATATTCAAATCAAGAGCAAGTTCTGTGATTTTCTCAGTGCCCTGATAACAAAAACAATAAAGATTAGAGACAAGGAAAGCAATAAATGGAACCACACATACACATACAAAAAGTAATTTTCTTACCATTTTTTCTTTCAATACTTTGAAGGAATCCATGTAATTCCATAGTCTACTATGCTCACCAAGTGGAGTAAACTTCTTAGGTGACTACTGGCAAATAATTTCTCTTTCCATATGCTGAATCAATGTATACATCATCAACTTGTTATGTTTTATTTTTACAAAACATCTATCAATAAGAGTTTGAAGTTCAAACTCACTGAAATAACCACATCCATTTAGTATAGTGATTACATATTTCTTGTCCATTACCCCAAAAAAACAAGCAATATCAAGGAATAAATCTTGGTGCTGTTTGTCTGGTAAAAACTCGTAGCTTATTTGAAATTTCTGCTGGATTTTGCTATTAGGAATCACTTCGAATCTGTCTAATGCATTTCTCCATACATCCTCCCCTATGTCTCGTAGAGAAGCACCTAAAACTTCAAGGGCCAAAGGAAACCCTCTGCACTGCTTCACAGCCCTTTTGGAGTACTCCATGTAACCTTCAATGGGACGGTGTTGCCCAAATGCATTCCAACTAAGGAGCTCAAGTAATTCATCGTCGCTCATTATCTCAACATCCATAGTCTCAACTTTGTAAGGCCTCAACAATTCGATATTTGTGGTTGTAATGATAATTTTACTTCCCTTACAAAAAAGACTCTTGCACGCTAAGAACTGCATCGAGTTGATCTTTTTTAGAAAATTTAAAAAATAATTATTTTTTGGTTGATTTGAATTGTAAAGTCAAAATAAGCTAAATGCTAGCATTTCTATGTGTAATTAAGATTTTTAATTTCACAATTCAAATTTATTGATAAATATACCAATGAGTAGATCAACTAAACCTATACTAATAATGAAGGAAAATGAGAATGTTTGGTATTCCTCCCTCAAATATTGATAATACTCGTCATTTTTTTCAAGTAAATATTCACAATTCTCCCTTTAATTCCACTCAACTATTATTTATAAATCTTTCTTTAATTTTACTCGCCCACCTTTACTCATTTTTTTTCCCAAATGATCACACATTTTTCTTTTAGCTTTATTTAATATCATTGCATATTTTTCTCTTTACACAAGCAATCATGCATGTAGGCATCTATTTTTAACAAATCAATTTGATACAAAACAAAAAGTAATTCATTTTTTTTAGGCAAATAAGCTACCGATCTTATGTTAATCCTTGCAAAACTATTCCATCAAAAAAATCCCATCTCCTGCACCCACATTGTAGGTGGAATTCTAGGTTGAGGAGTTACTTGAAATGTTGATAAGATATGAGTATTTTTGGTATCATAGTCAAGAGTATAATTAGTTAATTTATAATTTTAAACATAGATAAAGATTTTTTTAACTATAATTTTATTTAATTTTAATTAATAATACATTAATAAGTAAATATCTTATAAATAATTTATTATTAAGTTAAAATTGAGTGAAATTATAATAGAAATGAAAAAAGCGCGCCCCAAAAACAAAAGAAATGAAAGGCAGGGCTACCGCGCCATGCGCAAACAAATGATAACTTCCGCTCCCGCCGTATGTGATAATGGCTCGTGCGATTTGGGCTCCACTAGTCGCCCCTCTCTACACCCTGCTTCCCATTCTCCGTCTGCCTCCGAACCAATCTTTCTCTCGAATCTCCGGGGCTTCCCTCGGTTCACCTCAATTGCAACGACTCGGCTCATCACCTACTCGAGTGCGTTCAGGGGCTTCACAAGCAGGCAAATTAAGGTTTCTTGTTCGAAGAAGACGAAAGAAATTCTTGTAAGCACACTTGAATCCATCTTCCAATCGTTTCTTTGCATTGTAGTTTCGATCTCTTTTTGTTCCTCTAACATAGATGACTTATTATACCGAAGAACTTGAGATATAATGTTTTTAATCTTATTATGCTCAACAGTCGTCTCAATGCCGCAGTTTAATTTTTCTTAGATGCTTTAATTGACACAACTACTTTGTTTGGTATTTGACAACATATATCAGGAATATAAAGAAAACGTTGTTCAGATTTCAAATTTTCTTTGCTGGAAAATTTCACTGAATGGGGCCTCAATTTAGTTTTCTGGTTAATGCTATCAGATATCAAAAAAAAATGGTCGTACTCCCTAAGTCTCTATTTTTTTTCCTATGTTTTTTTTCCAATGGAGCAGAGTGTAAGATGACTATGAGGCATTGCTCAATATTTTTGATGTTCAAGTAGCTTGCATCATACAAAGCCATTGTTTCCGTATCTCTGTTGAGCACAATTTCTTGTGATAGAGCACAGATTATTCTGATGCTGAGGCGTTGAATAGGATATCACTATCACCATGAATTAATGTCACATTGTCACCCCTGTAAGCAGTTAAATTTTTTTTGGGATTATAGGGGTGATTTTTCTTATTTATTTAATTTTACCTGGGCTTGTTTGGCCTTACGAGCATTCTCCTTTCGACTTTGAACTAGGGAAAACATCTTAAACCCAAGAGATAGTGTTATATTCTTCGTATATCTTCTTGAGATAGTGTTATATTCTTCTTATATCTTCTTGCTATTTCCATTAATTGATCAAAGTGCCTGGAAAAAGGAAGTGCGATAGTGGCAGATAATTCAAAAGAGAAGAACTGGCAAACCTTCCATGTCCTCATCTTTTCCTGTGGTCTGTTATTCTTGTAGTATTAATCTATTTTGTCGAGGGTGTCGATAGTTGAAAGCCTGAAGAGTGGGATTTGTTTGTTAATTATAGCTTCCTCTGGCTATTACACCAAAACCTGAAAAGTGGAATATGTTTGTCAATTTTCTCCTTCTGGCTTTTGTACGATTTGCCTGATGTCATGGTGTCGCAAATGCCCATAAGAAGTTTATTTGCATATACATTTTATTTATTTATTTGATAAGTAACAGATTTTATTAATAATAGGAATATTTGCGGATACATTTGGTCAGCACGGTCTACTCTTGTATGTTAGTTAGCATGTTATGTAGTTGTCTTGGCTGTGTTTATACTTTCTCTCAAATATATCCCAAAGCCTGGAATGTAGCTTTCCACTTTCCTTATTCCAAGTTGGTGTGTTGAATTTTGTAATGTGCTATTGCATATCACTATTGATTCAGGTATTATACCTGACAATGAGACTGATTAATCATCTGAAGGATAGGGGTTTACAGGTTCACGTACTTTTGGCTAGTATGCTCATGTATAATATCTCTGACATCAAAGCAGTACAGGTCAAATTCTTAAAGGCTAGTGTAGAGCTTTATAGAATAAGATCTGTCTTGCAATAGCAAAAGCTGTATCCATGGGGAACAGAACCCTTATGATGGCAAGAACTTCTACATTTTATCTGTAAGAAAACGTCTACACTCGTGCTCCTACATTAAGTGTATATCATCTAGCATATTATGGTTTGGAAATTGTGGCAACTTCTCAGACAGTTCTTTGATACCCCTGGCTGAGTTCAGCAGGAACCATTACTGTTCTGAACTTGGTTGTTTGATGGCTTGCCAATTTGCAAACAATTTATTGGAGGTGTGGTGGTTGTTTGCAATTCTCCATAAGTCTGCCAGCAAAAGGGTTCATACAAGTGGTTCTTTTCCTGTATTGGTGTTAGATTTATGGTGTTTAATGTTACACCTGTGCATGGCAAGCTGTCGCTGCATGCAAAGTGAACAGGTTTCAGTGTATAGGTTCCTCTTATATTTTGATAGGATATGCCCGACACAGCCACAGCTGAAGTCTTGTTCTGGCATTTGCTCCCATCACAGTAGAACTGATCAATCATGATAGGGATTTCAACTTCTGAAACTTGAATGTTGGAGAACATGACTCCTTGCACTAACCCTGAGCCACCCTGCAGTTGAAAGAAATGAGATTCAGAAATATGGTTCAAATATAGCAGGAAAATCCTGAGTGAGCGAACTTGAGTAAGTTGGTTTAATATTTTGGTTCACGTAGGGTAGTGGTTTATTACCTGCCATGTCTTTATTCTTACACCAGTCAATGTATTGTGCATTGTGGTGTCTCGGATGGTGACGTTTGAGACGCAGGCCCTGGTGTTTCCCCTTCCTAGCCCTCCAATGCTGATCCCATGCCCAGGTCCACAATTCATGTTGTGAATAAATATGCCAGAGCACCCAGTTTGTATGGAGACACAATCATCTCCTGTAGAATAAAGCAAGGCATATGATAATATGTCAGTAACTCTTTGTTTGATGTGGCTTTGTTCCTTGCACTTTTGATCAGTCTGACCTTATACTAAATTTGCTAGTGTTTCTAAGAAGTTGAATAGCCATGTGCAGTTGCAGAGGAGTGACAACAGGGGAAGCAGTTTTGGTTGTAAAAGGCACAGGAATTTGCGGCCTTATATCAAGGGGTCTAACTCTTTGTAAGGGCCGATGAAACCATGGCAAAATAGCCTAAACTTGTCCAAAAATAACTGTCTTTCCAATTGGGTATTTTGACCATCTATCATAACTGTCTTTCTCTTCTACTTTCTCTATATTCTCTACATCTGAAATAATGAACAACATATTCAGTCATTTCTTTTTTTCAGAAAAGTATCAAATTCTGCACACTTGTTGTGTCACGTGTGCCAAGGATTCTAGTATCTAGTCATCATCTGTCAAATGCTAAGTATGCAGTTGGTTTACACAAATGGAAGGAGGGATGGATTGGAATTACCGCAAGCAACATTAGTGTTGTGGATTACCACATCTTGGGAGTTCTGAAGGTGGATTCCATCGGTGTTAGGACTGTCACTTGGGGATGAAACTGTCATGCCAAAAACCTGAACAGCTGTGCAGTCGTCGAACTTGAGATGAGTCTGAGGACTGTTTTGAATTGTTATGCCAGTCACTGTCACGTCAGAACTCCCATAGAACCTGATTGCCTGCATACCAAGGTAAAATTCCCTTAAAATCCTTTATTTTTAGTGTCAGATTCTGAAATACAGTGTGGGATCTCTATACGAGTACTTACTGTTGGCTTGGTGCTGGGCATTTTCCCTGTGGCCTCACTACTTACCTGCCAGACATGAATGCCATTTAACCGCATAATTAGTTTGTTATATATTCTGATAAGTGGCAAATTATCAAAGACTGATGAGTCGAAGAAATAGATGTGGCCTGGTTAGGCTTAAAAAGGATGTGGCAGTTACCAGAGCCGGCGAGCTCTCATAAGTTGAATCTTTGAGTGGAGAGACTGATTCTGATTCTTCTGTTGGATTTTCTGTGGATGAGTCACTCCACCAGACTGAGCCTTGCCCGTCAATAACACCTTTGCCCTTGACTGTAATCCCTGTAAGCTTCGTAAATTCGAGCCATTGAAGTAGACCCGAACCCCAAGCCCCAGGGCTTGTAGGAGCAATAATTTTGCCATCCACCTGCAGAAAGAGAGAGAATCAATTAGTCACATATATTCAAATACTAATCTGTCTACTGAACTTCAAGAATAACATGTCTGCCAAAAGCTTGAATATAGGGGTTGTTACTGGTGAGTTGATGATTTGAAATTCACCTGAAATATGATGTTTGATCCACAGTTGGGTCCTGAGAAAGAGATGGGCTTGACTAGGTAGACAGACCCTGATGGAACCACCATTGTTGATGCCTCCACTTTGCAAGCAGATGCCCATGCTGCTTCAAATGCCTGCCAAGGATTGCAGGTTGTATCATGTTAAGCAGAGTAGATTCATGGGTCTCGACAAATGGGGAGGCTAGCAAATTATGTCTTAGGAAACATTTTTTAAAAAACCGAGAACCGTCTAAATCATGCCTAAACTTAGGATGCGTGCACTCACTCATAAATCATGTGCATTAGATAAACTATAACGTTATTTGTAAGACTTGAACTTGAGACTGTAGAATATTAACAACTGAAATCCTCTTATCCAAACCACTTACTAGACAGTTCAAGATTAGTTTTACTAGAATCTCAAAAATCTTCGGGGACTATTACCATTTGAATTATTTCTCGGGGTTAATTCATGGTTTTCTAAACACCACTATTTTGAGCAGAATCTGAAGAAAGCTCAAAGCTACCTTTGTGTCATCCGTAGTTCCATCACCTTTAGCACCATAGTCTATTACATTAAAAGTAGTAGTTGAAGCCTTTCCTTGTGCAGTGAAACTCTCTTCCATATTGTTGGATATTGGCTATCGGCATCATTATCACCTTTCTTATTTGAAAGGGATGGTGGAATTGCTTTGCTTCCTCTCCAGTGCTTGACTATTCTACCACCGCAAGTTTCATTTCCTGAAGACCAGACAAGCAATGCAACCAGAATGAAGAATGTAGGGCTCCTCATATTAAGCGTTCTCATATTTTGATGAGAGAGAGAGAGAGAGAGACTTTTATTGGCGAGAGAGTTGGGCTTATATTGGCGAAAGCAGTCGGAGGTCATATCACTGTGCAGGCACATGCTTCACAGTTTTGCTCTTTTTTTTTTTTTCCTTTTTTTGTTTGGCTGAATATTGACCTTTATTTTATTTAAGTATTACCAGTTATTTGGGAATTAACCATACAACCTCCTAACACGGGCATGTAGTACTTGTGCAAGAATGCATAAATTTTATATGTTATTACTCCACTAAGAGCATTTCCAACAAGGTTTTATATTTTATCTATCCAAAAGTATATATTTTGTATTTTAGTTATTCATTTTTTCAATATATACTTTGATAGATTTTCTATAATTTAATTATTATTTTTAAATATTATTTTATATATTTTGTACCTTTGTTAGGATTGTTAGAGAGAGAAAGATAGAGAGTAGATAAGAGATGTGGGAAATGACAGAAGAAGAGAGAAAAAATTATAAAGTATTTATACAAGTTGCTATAGTAATGTTCTATATTTAGAGTATTACTGTAGCAAAAAGTCATTTTAGAGCATATGAACATATTCTGTTGAAGTATGTTTTTGTCTTTTAGTTAGCTAAATTTTAGTTATTTTGTGACAAGACATTATTAATTGACTTAATTAAGTACTTAAGCTTGCCTTATCAATATGACAACACGTATGAAATTACTACATCAGCCTTGTAGCTCCCTTAACACATTAGTAATTGATTTTGGGTTGAATATTTTTATATGGTGTTTAAAGAATTTATGAATTTAAATCTCTAACATATAGGCGATTATAGTATTTTATTTGTGTTAATCCTTTTGTACATAATTTTTGTTTGTAAATTAAGCATCGCGGGTTTGTTTAAAGAACAAAAATAAAAATAAAAAATATATCTTGTATCGTATAACTTAAGAATATATTGACTAGCACGTATGTATATGTGCTAGATGTGGAGTAGCACGTATTTGAATAATTAGCCAAATAGATAAGCATGGTCGTGCAACGTCATGCAAATCTCATCAATTATATAAGTAATAATTCTAGAAATCATGGAGCTCAATACTCGGCTGTGATTAGCTCTATTCCACCAGCACTTTGTCACATGACTTGGATATTTCTGAGAGTTTTCTACACGTCAGGATGTTTTTGATGCTAAAGATAGGAGAAATATTCATGCACTTAATGACCAAGAAATACAGCAAAGTTTTCATGAAAAAGCCATTGAAGACGGCAAGGGACAAGCTAAAATCTTTGACAACTGAGAGAGAGAGAGAAGAGAATGGCTGTGGAAAATGGATAGCCCTGTAGTGGAATCGACCCTTCTTGATCATGTGGAGAGTTTCAGTTAACATGTGAATGTCATTTTCGTTGTTTGTTAGTGAAAAAACAACCGTTAAATTAGTTATCCAGATATCGCGCCATGGCTTTTGGGATTGGGCTTATGTACACTAAAATATTACTTGACTTCTTCTAATTCGAAGACCCGAGCGGCACACCGGGTGGGGGTGTTCTAGTATCAGCTGAACTTTTTACCGTGATGTTAGGAAATTTGAGTATTTGAATTCATATTAAAGTTCAATAGTTAACTGTTATGCTAGTTTAGTTAGACTTGTTTTTTAGGAGAGTAACTGGCAGATGCTTTATGATATATACATATATTATATTTATCAATTACATATTATGTATACATTAATTTTATATGTAGATATAATGGTAAAATATGTATTTATATTTTTTCAAAAAAAAATTAAAAAATTAAAAATTACTTTTTCTATGTTACCAAACACAAAAAAGAAAAAATAAATCTTTTCTACTTTCCATCGCTCTTACCAAACATAAAGTAGGGTAGTAAGGGTTCCTCTCTTGAAGAATATAAAATTTATCACTCCCATAATTCATTTTTTCTACCAAATGGACCAAAAGTATTAATGCTGTGAATTGGTATATATCCTCTGGGAGCACGCACTGCGTGGTAATCGGTAAATATCTCTAACTCCTTACCCTGAATGGTAGAGAGGTTATTGACTAATTATCTTGATATGTTGGGTATCCTCAATTGAGAGACCCACATTTGAATGATAAAGTTGTGACCCATTGAATCTTGTTTTGAATCTTACCAAAACTATGTTTGTTAGATGAAAAATCGTCTAAGATTTTAAGACCACAGCACATATAATACCCTTTATCCAACTGACCAGGACATAATAGATTGAATTGACTGAAATAAAAGTAAAAAATTTTATTCGAATCACTAAATACTTCACATTGGAAATGTTTTGAGAGAACATGCGGAAACCAATGGGATTAACAACACCCTTATGAAACTCACATGCACAAAATAAGGAAGCGCGCGTCAAAAGGATATTATCAAAAAATCTATTTATAAAGTCTTTCTTAGGGATACCTAATAAAGTCATCTAGCATTGTTAATAAGTTCTTAGAATGGAGATGATTAAAATTAGGGACTTTTGGAAGTTAGTACACGAAATTGGACTTAATTGCTAAAAGTTATATAGAAAAAAAATGTTTTGTAAAATAGTTCATTTAAGACATAGAAAGACTTGAATACCTTCTTATTATAAATAAGTTTCTTAAAAAAGATTTTTTGAAAAAACCTAAAAATTTAGGAATAAAACAAAAACTTAAAATTTAGGAAAATCAAAACCCATAATAAATCTTCTCCAACTTTTAGGGATATGTTTCAAAGTTTTTGAAATTTGACAATTAAAATTAAGAAATTTTATAATTAAATCTAACGTGCACTCTTTTATAATTTCCCTTAAAATTAAGAACCAAGAACAAGTTTTGGGCTAAGCCGCGGGCCGTGCACACAGTTATGGCAGGTCTGTGACTCAAGTGAGCAGACTATACCCAATAGGGAGGAATTATGGTACTGCATTTTTTGATTCGATTCTTTGCGAAATACTTTTTTTTTGACTCACCTTATTCAATAAAGTGTACTATTTCTACTTGAATTCCATGCAAAACAATCGGATAAAAAAATCAGGTGAACACATATTTTTAGTTATTAATTTTTGGATTATTTAATTATTTAATTAAATAATTTGTACCAACTAACTAATACAATAAACCAATAATACTAAAGAAAACTTTAGTCATGTGATATTGCTAGTGTATATATATATATATATATATATATATATATATATATATATATATATATATATATATATATATATATGCAGGTAAGGTAGGGTAGGAATATGAAAATTTTGTAGGTATTCTGTATTTCTATTCGACTTTTTTGTAAAATACCAAAAAGTCTTTCGTTTGCCTATCTGATTCGTTTGAATAGTTGATCAATAGAGTTGATAGGATAGGATAATATCGAAATTTACTAATAATCGAAAATTTGAACACCCTACAAGTAAGAGCCTCAAGAGATTGGGCCAAGTGGCCCTTAAATGGGCTGTGCTGTGGTCCTCCGCATGTTTATCTAGACTATGAACAGCTCCTTTAACCCACCACCAAACAGAGACTCCACCCGTCACTTTCGTAATTTTCGCCTCTCTCTTTTACCATGTCCATCCCGTGGTGATTATTTAAGGGTTTTCCGCTCTTGGTGAATTGAATATCTTTATTGTTTTGATTTATTTGGTGGATTCAGATTTTTAATTTCAGTGGTTTTTTGGCTCTTCATTAGATTCAATTTCAAAATTTGAATTTATTTGGGGCTCAAGAATGATAGTGAAAATAAAATAGAGCCAATCAGAGACAAAATTGCTTGAAGAAACTGTGGCAGTGGCGAGGCCGGACACAATTTTCTGACCCTTTAATGCTAAATGCTACAAACTACAAAGACTGATGTTCATAGCAATCCAAAGTCGCTTGGATAATTGAAGAAAACAATAACGAAATGTGGTGCCCTAATATTCTGATGAAGTCTAAGCATATCTTCTTCTTTTTTGGGGAAGTCCATGCATATCTTCACGGTTTGATTGGGCATCATTCCTTTCCTGCACATTGCACACTGAACTGTTTTTGACCTCATTTACCTCCGAACCATTCATTGGTTCGACAAATGTGGTGTCCCCAAATGTGATGTAGATCCAAGCATATCTTCAATGATTGATTGCTCATTCTTTTTTCATGCTCATCATCATTCTTCTCTTCATGCTCATAGTATATAGGATTGATTTTGAACTCTTTTACCTCCGAAGCACGTATTTCAATCCGAAAATTTAATTCATCACCAGGTTCGAACTCACTAAACTGTTTCCACCGATTCAACTCTTTGAGCTTCCAATGACTTAACCAGATGATATATTCGTTTGGTTCTGGAATTCCAGTAAATATTGGATAGTAGTGACAAATCTTCTTGCGCCTATTATAGACTTCAATTTAATACTTCCTGCACCGAACCAATCATATTTTTTTACCCCGTACACACAACTCATGTTGAATCCGTGAATCTTACGATTTTGAATTAAATGGACACTCATACGTGCTGTGGATGGTTCATCCGAATTGCTGGAACAGCCCGAAGCTTTATCCAAATTGCTGGAGCAGCCCGAAGCTTTCCCCCAGGGAAGAAATATGTTGTATATGCCGTTTTCCAACAATACCTGTGCCATAAAGTTACAATTTTACCCCGTTCAAACTCTGCAATGCCTTCATGTGGTTTCACCCGGAACACTTTTCTTCCTTATACTTTAAAGGGCACCTCTTAAATCTCATTTTTTACCTCATTTAATCATTTTATTTTAAACTATTAAGTTCATCTTATCTATACTCACTCTTTTAGTTATTAAACTCACCCCATTTATATTCA